TTGCCAAATTACACCAAAATAATTTTGTCTTGGCCAGCATGAGGAGTAGAAATGAACTATGGATTATTTTTGAGCTGAATTTCTTTCCTGTCTTTTTTTTTTTGGGACAATTTGTTACTTTTACACATTTTTCTTCTATTTAGTTACAGATAATAATGAACAATATTTCAGAAAAAATGTATTAATTTACATGCAAACACATTACTGTTTTTACTGTATTTAAATCTGATAAAAAACATTTTTTACAGATATCTGCAGGCATTCACAAGTTTTTTAATGTTGCAGTATTCCATCATTTCTTGAGATTTTTTGGCACCTTTGCAGACAGATTTTCACCATTTCTATTGGGATTTTTTTTTTTTTTAACAATGTACTCCAACATGAGAAATTGATCTAATCTTTTTTTTTTCTTTGCTGCTGCTGTGTCACTATTATCATGGCAGTACAGTAACAAATCTAACCATAATATGGCATTCACTAAATGGAAATATCAGCTCTATGTAAAAGCTTTGTTCCTCTTTTGCTTGAAGACACCCAGCCTCTTTGTGTCCCCTTTGCTCGGGTAACAAGTGCACTCGTGACGGGGAAAAGCACAAATTTCTCAATATGAATCCAGACATGGGTCAAACGTGGCATCTAAATTATTAGTCTGCTGTCTGACATTAGAGGTTAAAGGTCTCAGAGACTGCTGCGGGGAATTTGGAGCTCTCTTGGCGTCAGCGCTGCTTGTCCCCGTTTTATGCTTGGTTAAACTAACGAGTTTTGCGCATTTAGTTTAGCGAGTAAAACTCCAGACTTGGCTGCAAATTCTCAGCTCCCATTGTTCTTTCGGCTCATAGGAGGACGCTTCGAAATAGCAGGTACTGTGGAGGCAGGTTTTCTCTCCGTCCCCACATGCCGTTATCACTTTAATGGGAAATTCCATTCCTTCTGAGCTGAATCAAACATTAAAACTCCCTCCATGAGAAAGGAAAACTAATTTCGGTCAAAAGCAGCACATCTGCCAGTGCCGGTCCCGTCCCATGTGATAAGAAATTGCTTTCAGATATGAGTGAGCCGCGTGTGTTCACATCGAACACACACAACCGAAAGGGGAGGAGACGGGGTTAAGGAGGGAGGGAGATATTTTTTCCTACTGAAAGGCTATTCTCTTACCGAGTCCACGCTCACCTGCAGACGTCGGCCCGTGAACACGGCTCCGGATATGAACCCTGATCCTTTTCATTTCCTCTATCGACTGGAAGGTGACCCCCCGCACCCTCACCCATCCTTTCACACACACACACCTGAAATACCTCCTCTAGTGTTTTCTACCTGCCAGCCTCCTCCTGTACGTATGTATGTGTGTGTGAGGGGACTTTGTCCTCCAGGAGAGTGAGAAGGACCCACTTCCTGTGTCAAATTGCCTCTCACATTCCACACTCTCCCTCAATCCGCCTCGCTCGGGCTATTTTTTCCTCTTTCTTGATCCTTCTCTCTTTCTTCGTCTCTCTCTATAGGGGGCTTTGTCTGCTGGGCACAAAACACTGATTCATTCCACGAGTTAAACATGATCCTCAAGAACACAACGCTTTTCCGTCACACACACACACACACACACACACACACAACGTAACACACACTTGTCAAGGAGAGAGAGAGGGTTGGCGAGAACAAGCTTTTGGCAGTGGATATTCACTATTTTTGAGCCCACACAGACAGATGGACAGTCAGGGCTCTCATGAAGGCAAACGGATGCACACACACACATACGAGCTATCCGTGGGACACAACAGATGTCTGTGGGAAAAGCAATCTCCCATGTAAAATATAGTCGCCCGGATATGATGTCACAGCCTCGATAACTGGAAATACCCACAGAGACACAACACCGGGGATCAGGCACAAGACACACAAAGTCAGCTGGTTTCGAGCTCAAGAGGCTTCTGAAGAAAGATCTTGTCAGCAAATGCATGCAGCCATAGGTCATGTGTGCGTGTGTGTGTGTGTGTGTGCGTGCACTCAAGGCCCGGGTTGCTTGAGGTGAGTCTTGTAATTATTAGACTGTTGACATATGTGTGTCTGTCACCTTTTCCGTGCGGCACCTGCCTGCAATCTCTCTGTGCGCTGCAAACACGGTGTATATTTAAAGGTGTGTGTGTGTGTATATATATATGTGTCACACCTGTCTCCATCTGTACACTTAAAGACGGATTAGGTCGGTCGCAGGCCAAGGATCTCTGGCAAGGAGCGCAACCGACTGACCTACTAGTAATCAGTGTCACCGGGGTCGATGTGTGTGTGTGCGGCGTTGAAAACCCCTGCCAAAGCAATGCAACATCACAGCAGAGACTGCGAAACGGAATGCCAAGATGTTGACAATACAAATATTGTGTACGAGTGAAGAAATGAAAGCAGAGGCTGAATTAAGCAAGCCAACGCGCCAAACTGCCCCCGTGCCCCAGAAAACTGGAGATTATCTACGCTGTCGATTAATCAATCAGTTGTCTGACTTACAAAATGTCAAAGAGCGGTGAAAAATGCCAATCAGTGTGTGCAAAAGCCCAAGATGGCATCCGCAAATCTCCAAAGACGTTCAGTTTGCTATCACACAGGAGGAAAGAAAGCAGAAAGATACTCACATTTAACAAGCTGGAATCAGAAAGTTTGTACTTTTTTTACTCAAACTGATTTAAAAATAGTTGACAACTAATTGAATAACAGCTGCTGCTCTACTCACAGGACCTTAAATATCTTCACATTCACTTCATGAAAACTAAATGTGGCGATCTGAAAAAACGTTGGAAGAACTCGCGCCTTAATTAAACCCCTCAAAACTCATAGCTGTGCATCAAAGTTAGATTTAAAAGCTTTTCCGTGAACATAATCCCTCCGTGCCTTAAAGATGGCTTAGATGGAACTTCCTCCAGAGGATGTGGATCTATGAAGTCTCCGCCTCGCTCTGCTCTGATCCCGCCGCACTCGCTGCAGCTCAAGCACACCGGCTCACCTCTGCTCAAACACCGCGAAACCGCTCTGTGCTACAAGAAGCAATTCATAGAAAGTGTTTTCGGTGATACAGAAAGCTCCACCCTACAAGCTGACAGGATTGGTTCGTTAGGTTTGTCACATATGAAACCGTGGAAGTCTGAATCCGTGTTTTTGAGACAGTTTTGTGGTGGAAATGGCCTTAACTGCTTGTTTCACTCATGATGTGACTTCCAGCATATTAAAAGAAAAAAAAAATCTCCATACAGACATATTAGCAAAAGGTAAGAAACCTTGATTTTCAGCTAAACAAATTTACTTTTATGTTCTGCTCAGAATCATGCGCCTGGATGAAGCTGTGCTCAATTAAATTACCACTAATTAAGAACTGTTTTGTGGAAAACTCATTAAGTATACAAAATAGTCTACTGCTGAAAGACTATTAGAAAAACTTCAGTGGTCCTTCACATGTAACAGCAGCTAGATTAAAAAAGTTGTAACAAGAGAAAAGAACATAAGGCTAACATTAGACTATGTACAACTTCCACATGTACAGAGAAGACATAATGGATAGTTGTACCCAAACTGTGGGACACATGAGGTGTGTAGAATTGCACATAAAAGTTCCAAAGATATTGTCTGGACATGTCTGAGTGTCATTTCAGTGGAGGAGTCCTGGTTGCTCTGCTCCTGAAGGGCCCCTTGGTGCATGCATGTGCATTGAACAGAGGGCATGAGGGGACAGCAGGGGCCCCTAACAGGCTGATGCAGCCATGAATGAAGGTTTTAAAAAAAAAAAGAGAGAGAGAGAAAATAAAAACACTGTGCAGCACTCCAAAAATTACTCTACTCTCACTACAGAGCTGCAATAAAACACTCTGGGGGGATATTAGCCTATGGAGATGTCGCTCCTGGGGTTTTCACGTTCAAAATTAGATCTGCATTTTGATTATTTTTTATTTATTTTTTTGCTTCCCTTTTTCTCTCAATGATTCAGCGAGCTTCCTCCCTCCTCTTCCTCCACCTCCTCCTCCTGCTCATAGGATAAATCTGGATTAATCGGCAGCGGAAGGTGTGGGCGTGCTGTGGGGAGGAAGGAGGAGAGGGGAGGGGAGAGACGCGTGAATCTCGGCGTGGACGGTTCCGGAGAGGAGGTGTGTGCGCACGGAGGGAGGGATGGATGGATGGATGGGGAGAAGAGAGGTGAGAGAGGGAGAGGAGGAGGAGGAGGGGGGGCTCTCGCATTCCTAATCAGCTTCCCTCCTCGCGATTCCCGATGACATCATTCCATCCTGGCGTTCGTTCGCGCACCGCATCGCCGTTAACTTCCCCGTTACCCCACCCACTTCTTCTCACCACACTCTGCTGCGCGCACACACACACACGCACAAACACGGGAGGATGCCCCCGGTTGGATTCTGGCATCGGGACAATGAGGTCGCCGTTTATCTGGCAATTAAAGGAGCTCACAGGTTGGACATCCAATCATCCCCTTCTCTCTCTCTCTCTCTCTCAAAAACACACACACACACACTCTCTCTCTCTCACACACACACACACCGTCCGACCCCGGTAATAAAGTCGTTAAAGCCGCAGTATGACTGGAGCCCCCCCAAATTAACGGCAGGATGTGAGCTGGTGACACAGACACCACAGAACGAGGCACCGCACCAAGACCCGTAATCAAGCTCAATTAGAGATAACCCGCTAATTACCGACACACACACACACACGCACATGCGCGCGCGCACACACACACACCTCCCGAGTGGAAGGGGACACACAGGCCACAATAAACCCCGACACTGAGACACAAAGGCTGGTGTGTGTGCGTAAAAGCGAAGGGGGGTGGGTGGGGGGTGCACGGGAGTCGCCAGCCCCCCTAACGGGAGTCGGGGACGGCCAATAAGGGCTGATATGTAGGTCGAGTGCAGGATTTCCTACCATTAAAGATACACACGCAAAAAAAATATGAAAAATGCTCCCAGTGCGCACACAAGCGCTCCCCGGTTAACAAAGGATCTGAGGCTTACCGTGGCGGCGTGAGCAAGCAGCGCCGTGAGCGCCAGTAGCCACGGCAGCTTCATGGTCGGGGTGCGCGGGCACAGCCTCCCGGTGCCGCCGCTGCCTTCACGGAGGAGGAGGAGGGGGGGAGGTGGACGGACAAAAGCTGCTGCTGCTGCTGCTGCTGCTCTCGGTGTCTCGGTAGTCTGTCCAACTTCAGAGCGCGCCGCCCGTCTGCGCGACCATCCGTCCTTCTAGTCGGGTTTTTTTTTTAATCCACGGCTTTACGCGCTGCTGCTGCTGCTGGTCCCGGTCACCAGTGGAGCAGTGAGCTTTCCACGAGGCCTCCTCTCCTTCTTCTCTGTCTCTTTCTCCTAGTTTTTGTGCTCGAAACCTGATAATTTACTACCGGGAGACGCCAGACCTCGTCTCTCTCCTCTCTCCCAGTACACTCTCAGGCTCTCTCTCCCCCCTTCTCTCTCTCTCTCTCTCTGTGTACACACTCTCAGGCTCTCTCTCTCTCTCTCTCTCTCTCTCTCTCTCCTCCCCCTCTCCGCTGAGGGCAGGATGTTCCGTATGGCGACGCTGCCTGGCCTGGGAGTTTGGCAGGAGGAGGGGTGTGTGAGAGAATATATGTGTGTTAAAGAGAGAGGTTGCTTGGTTTGGTGGGGGGGGGATCTCCAATGCGCGAGCAAGGGCGAGGATGCCCCCTGCAGCTCGGTTGGACACCCGCAGCCCCAAAGCGGGCTTTAAACACACGGACGGACGGACTGGGCAGTCATGGCTGCTGCTCTCAGGTTGCTGCCTTTTGTTTGGCGCTCAGGTGCTTCCGCTTGGCTGCGCGCCATTTCTTCACACACCTTTAACGCCCAGCTGCGGCGCTGCGCTGTGATTGGCTGGGTCACGGTGACCTCACACCTGTGCCCACCTAACAGGAACACGAGTGTCACACACGCTGTAGCCTACTTGTGTCGCCTAGCAACCCTGCACTTTAGCTACCTGCTCGACAACCAGGCTGGAAAAATAATGACTGTTCAAAATGTGCAAAGGGAGAGACTTGACCCGGGCAATACGGCAGAAAACTGATCAAGATAAAACATTCAATACAGACTAAATTGATGATTTTGATCCCTTTTAATGGGATTCTTTTATTTTTATTAAGGCCAGCAGAGAATGTGGCCACATTATTTTGAATTTTACGACTTCATCTATCTGGGTACACAGGTAATCATTTAGCACAATAATGAAAAGAAAAGCAAATTCCTCATATGTGAAAACTGACTTGGCAACAAAGCTGTTTCTGATTCCTATTCTGAAACACACAAATAAATTTGCACACATGAATAATGATAAGTAAAGATCTCAACTTGATTTCAAAAAAGACAGAAAGTAAAATCATGAGTTGTGACACAGAGGCTGGACCAGAAGACCTGGTACAGGCCTCCACATGAAGTCCGTCAGCCCTCAGCGCTAACAGGCAACCCATGGTGCTCAGCTCAGTATGGCTCAGTGCTTAACGCAAATTTCCCTCCACTCCACACAAATCGCTCTCCACTCGCTCTAATAAAAAAGAAAAATTGTTGCACACGCATGTATTTTCAGTTTAATGTTAGAAATATAACCAGGGCTTGGCAGATTCGTCTGGCTCCTTCCCAGCTTACTTTAACCATCCACCCATTATCTATACAC